AAACTCGAGCGGAAGCACACAAGTGCAAGCTTGGATGCAGGGTGCCATAGCGAAAATTAGTAGCTCAAATGATGGAGTATCAAACTCTACTGCAAGCCCAATCAGTGGTTCAGCTACGTTCATGCCAATAAGCATTAATACAGGAACATTTCCAGGAACGCCTGCTGTTCGGCTCATTGGGGACTGTCATTTCCTTCATCGTTTATGCCAGCTGTTGCTCTTCTGTTATTTCCAGCGGTTACAGGCCTCGCGAATTCACCAGAGAAATGCTGATGTTAGCTCACAAAAACTTCAAACGGGGGCTACCAGCAAGTTGGAAGAGGTCAACTCTGCTAAACCAACCACTGCCTTGAACAGGATAGAGGAAGCCCATGGATTCCGAGGTTCCCAGTTGGGTGCTGGAGCGAAAGGGATTGATGAAAATTCTGCTCGTACAACGAAGATGGGTTCCGGGAATGCCGGTCAAGGATATACTTTTGAGGAGGTAAGCAACTGTATTCACCTGTTCTCTTACTTTTATACAGTTATCTGTGGAGCCTTTAAGCTGATCAGTGTGGGTGAGAGAGAATAATGGGAAACCTAGGTAGGTTGATTGAGATTGTAAATGAGTTGAGTCTGATAGACTTTGTTGATCTTGAAACGAAACACAATGCCATGTTGATAGTTCAATAATCTAGAAAGATATAGTTCGCGTTCTTTTAACAAATGGATCGAGTTGACAAGGTATGCTTATGTATGATCTTCCAGGTGAGAGTTCTTTTCCATATACTAATGGATCTCTGCAAGAGAACAGCTAGCCTTGCACATCCCTTACCTGGCTCTCAGGTAGGTAGTGGAAACATCCAAGTTCGACTGCACTATATTGATGGAAATTACACTGTGTTGCCCGAGGTGGTAGAAGCGGCTCTTGGACCACATATGCAGGTATCTGAGCTTATTGTAAACAAACTGAAGCTGTTTGTTTGTTCTCGTTGGTACCACTTAGTCAACTACAGGTTCAATTTATATTTTTCCCTGATTTCCATATGATTTGTTTTGTTATAAAAACTTAACAAACAGAATATGCCTCGCCCAAGAGGAGCTGACGCTGCTGGTCTTCTACTTCGGGAATTGGAGCTTCATCCGCCATCTGAAGAATGGCACAGAAGAAATTTGTTTGGTGGTCCCGGGTCAGAACCTGAGGATGTGGTCCCTTCAGATGATACTTTCAGGCAGAGTCACTCCTTGGATCTGTCTGATGCAAACTTTTCGGGGATCGGTGATGCATACAACAGAGTCCAAAGTCTTTGGCCAAGAAAACGTAGAATGTCTGAAAGAGATGCGGCTTTTGGTTCAAATACTTCTGTGGGTTTAGGTGCATATCTTGGAATCATGGGTTCTCGTAGGGATGTTGTAACCGCGACATGGAAAACTGGTCTTGAAGGAGTTTGGTACAAGGTTACTCTCATACATTCCCCTACACATTTCATTACTATTACGATGTGATAAACAAGCAGAGTTCTTCTGTTACACCTTGTAACATGGTTGTCGTTTTTATTGCAGTGCATAAGATGCCTACGACAGACATCTGCATTTGCTTCACCTGGTGCTTCTAAGCAGGCTAATCCAAATGAACGAGAGACCTGGTGGACCAGCCGTTGGGTTTATTGCTGCCCTATGTGTGGGGGAACGTGGGTCCGTGTTGTATAGACAATCAAATGGAATTAACATCTACTAAATCAGTTTTGATCGAAGAACCAGTAGATTAATTAGAGGAGCATAGAGTCCAATCCAAACCAATGGTTTGAGCAGTTAAAAGGTTAGCTTTACAGGCTCAAAATTAATCACCTTGCAGCTGATTATTTCGACACAACTTCTGCAAGTTAATCTTTATTACCTGCTTCTAATCCTCATTCTCTGACGAGTCTTGTCATCTAGACACTGTCAAAAATGTTTCAAGTCTTGAATGGAATCGGAAGCGATAAGGTCCCTGCAAGATCCAGACAGTGTGTGCGCGCTCTGAAACGTGTCTTGATGGATAGATAGCCCTTATGGTCTCATATGTTTGGCTCTTGTGGACTGTAAATCTATTTAAGGCTGCAACCTCATTCTTTTATTCCGTAAAAGGATATTGTAGAGGCCGTGTTAGTGATGGTTATCACTTTTATGCAAGATTTGTAGTATTTAACTATAAGTTTATTTTCGTTGACTTTTGATTGGTCATGAAGCATTTTTTGTTTTCTTTTCAATTTATGTGTAGGATCACGATAACTGCTAAAATTGCTTTTTATCTTTTCCTGTCGACGACTAATTTATAATTACAGCTATTACATATTTAGCTTAAATTAAGCCGATAAATATAGGTTTGGAAACTTTCTATATTTACGACGTGGAGGTACATGGACGTGTTCAGTACGTAATGAGTCAGAAAATAATTATCAAGGGTTGACTTTCTCTAATTAGTTTTACTTGTATCTACCACATTATTCTTTTTTTGTTTGTTTGTCACATCTACCACATTATTCATTCATATATTAATTGGACATTAATCCACATTTATTTTTTGGTCGAAGACATTAATTTACATTTAACATTATGAATTTACACATAGCATTATGAATTTACACAATAATGTTCACTGTTCACGGTAAGTGTTTACTAATCCAATTATAAAAATATGGGATATAAAATTAGCTCGTGTTTCTTTTTATTGACAAAACAGCAACTGTGTTTTTGATTAAATAACATGCTACAAAATAACATGCTATTTTTTTTTTAAATAACGCGCAAATATTTTGTTATTTAACTCGCCAATTCATTTAAACTCGATCACTTAACTCGTTTATTAAATGAGCCTAAAAAACATAGTTCGCGCTTGTCAAAATCCAAGCTGAGCCGAGCTTGACACTCCTAGTCAAATGGCAATCATCCAAAATGTTATTAACCATATAGGAAAACCTGGTGTCATTTTATTTATGAGAAATGTAGGGGTTATTTTGTATATATATATCTTCCATAC